ACCAATTAATTCTTGACTAATATTAATTAAACAATATGATTTCTCCTTTAATATATTATTCTCATAATACATTAATAAATCATATTTAATCCTTTCTCTCCATAATTCATCCTATCAAGTTGCTTTGGTGAAGGCAACCCAAAAGGACCATGCACCATCGGGTCAAGTACATACCAAAATAGTTATGGAATTAGACACTAATCCAACATGGGGTTCGTTATATAATTTACACATATTACAAGAGTTTGAGGTACTTGATGGATCATCCAAATCTGAATATAAGTCAGCATAGATACCTCGATGTGGTGAAGGATTATGATTGTGAGATCCTTTATCACCCTGGGAAGGCCAACATGGTGTCTAATACTCTTAGCCGCAAGGCGGCTGGTACTCCTATCATGCATGTATGTTTGAGGATGACAGTGATTACTCCACTCTTGGAGCAGATTCAAGGGGCCCAAATAAGGGTTATAAAAGAGGAGGGTTAGAAGAGCAAGCACATATTGGGTTAGGTGTCCTCTTTTAATTATGATAGCCAGGGATTGTGGACCCTACATCGGAGAGTTTGGGTTCCATATTTCAGGGGTACACGACAAATCCTTATGGATAAGGCGCATAAGTCGAATTTTTCTATATCCTTCGGGTGTAACTAAGATGTATAGAAATCTCCGACTTGATTATTGGTGGCCCTACATGAACCGAGATGTGGCCCGGTATATGGAGAGGTGCTTAACTTACAGGAAAGTCAAGGGAAATCATCAGCGACCTCACGATAAAGTGGAGCCATTGGGTATTCCCTTCTGGACATGAGAAGAGATCATCATGGACTTCATCACAAAGTTACCACGGACAATGCGAGGGGTGGATTCAATTTGGTTATCGTGGATTGATTGACGAAGAGTATGTATTTTATTCCTATTCAAGAGAGCATCTTTGTAGAGAAATTGGCAGATGTACATATACATGAGGTGGTGGCACGAGAAGGGGGCCAGTATCAGTGGTTTTTGTGACATCCCCATTTTTACGGCCATAAAAGACCGATTTTGTTTATGCTTTATAAAAATCAGAGTACCTCTTTTAATAAAAATGTTGCGGAATTTGTTCCTAGTAAAACATGATAAATACGTTATCAAAGCATTTCCAAAGAAAAGTATTTATATTCATTTTAAAACATTTGGGATGTCATCCTCAATACAGAAACATAAGCATAAACAGAACTTATATTCATTATCACTAATGATTTATATCTCCTTATTCTCTCAGTGTAATGTAACTTCATATCAACACCTATGATATAAATAAACTGTGTGGGTCAGTTTGGGAAACCTGGTGAGTACATAGGGTTTTCAACCCACAATAATATAATTATTATGTTTAATCATCAAACAATTAACCCAATTACCCATCCCCATTATCTTCTTTACTCTTAAGGATTTACCCTAAGAATTAGCTATTCCTCGTCCATTCATTCCTAAGGATCATCCTAAGGAATCGGCACGAAACCCATCGTAGCTAGGGTTGGCTCAATAGGCACTAAGTTGCATAGTAACTAGGGATTAGGCACTAAGTCTCATAGTCGCCAGGGTTTATACAAAAGGCACTACGTCACATAGTCGCTAGGGTTTAGGCACTAAGTCTCATAGTCGTCAGGGTTTATACAACAGGCACTACGTCGCATAGTCGCCAGGGTTTAGGCACTAAGTCACATAGTCGCCAGGGCTTAAAGTACACCGAGTGAACACATCGTTCACAACACCTACAGGTTGCGAGCCTGCTAGTGTTCCACTGGACTATCTAGAATAGTCTGTGGTTGTCATCCATGCTCTACTAGATGATGGGTCCATCATTTGGGTAAAAGGCTTCTCTCATTGTTCACCACTTAACCTTATCGCATGGTCTATGTCACCTCTCAAATCATCATCCATCTCATATTTCATCTACCCATGTTTTACCCAACATATTATGTAGATATAAATATGTATACAATTTAATCATATAAAACTTGTATAAAATCGTTTATCCAGCATAGATAGCAAGTATACAGATAATATGCACACATAGCATGTAGTTTATATAAAATACTTCCTATCTATGTGTAAGATGAAAGTAAGTATGCACTCACCTAAGAAGGTGGTGACTCGGCACTCGGATAGCACTTCGTTACTCTTGACACAATTTTCCTTGGCCAAAACCTAGTATCATTACCACTAGAGTTTAGTTTAATATTCACCGAGACTAATTAATACTCTAGCTATTATTACTATTATATAAGCGTTAAAAAATACTAATATAACCCATAATAATAGCCCAAATACTCCTTATAAGGTCCTAATAACATTACTATATTGAAACATAAGCTATACTAAAGATAGGTTAGGCGTAGCTCACTTACAGTGGGTTTTCTCGAAAATCGGGCTTCACTGGAGCAGCGTTCCCGAGCCGAAACACACTTTTCTCGGGGCTTCGGGAGCCTCGGGACTTTCTTCGGGTGCTAGGGGGCTTACCTAGACTTTAGGGGGCTTAAGGGAGGCTAGAGAGAAAGTATAGAAAGAAAGTGAAGTTGCAAGGTATGAGAAATGAGGGTGCCCCGACACTTATTTATAGGCTGGAAATCACCAAAACTCATCGAGTTGGCCTCCAACTCGTCGAGTTCCAGGCCAGGTGTCACCATCTGGTGGCTAGCCTTAGGGAGGAAGCAACGACTGTGATCAAGCCACGTCACCCAAACTCGCACAACACCCTCCCGACTTAGAAAAATTATAACTCTCGCATACAAGCTCTGTTTTCGATGTTCTTTATATCCACGCATAGGTAAAAACAAGATCTACAACTTTTGTTTAGGCTCTGTCGGCTAATTCTCGACCAATCTTAAATTTAACAGTAGGAGGAGATTAGAATGTTAAATGACCGCGAAGAATTCGTAACTCCTTCATACGGACTCCGTTTTTGTCTGTCTTTTTATCTTTGAGTTCCTCTTAAGGATATATTCAACTCTCATTTAGGTCGCATAGGCCAAAAACAGCTCGAACTAAAATTCGAGTTTCGGGTCGTGCAGTGCTATGTCAAATCTTATAAAATTCATAACTTCCTCATACGAAGTTAGATTTGGGCGTTCTTTTTTTTGTATGTTCTCGGTTTAACATATACTACAACTTTTGTTTAAATCACTAAAGCTAAAAAGTACTTTATCAAAAATTCACTAATTGCCTTAAAACATATGTAAATTCTTGAAAAGTAATGGTGTTATTAGAGTTTACACTAACACTAACTTTAAATGTACTTCTCGATTGGATCTTATCAACTCTTGTGCATAATCCCACACATTAACATAGCGACCACTTAATTTTCCTTCGATTAAAGACATTGTCATACATCTTGCTATGTAACAGTTTGACGAAGATCATGTAATGAAATTTACTTTGGATAATGGTTTGTATTTTCTTATTTTAATTTTGGTTTTCTAATCACCTCCTTCAGAAATTGCCTTGATATACATGTTGGATTCATAAGTGAATAAGTGATGAAATATTAAAACCCCTAACACACTTATGTTTATCAACAATTTTTTTTAACTTGAAAAGACCTTTCAGTGGTACTCATTCAGTTTGCCTTAACAATAAAGGGACACTGAATTTTGTCTTAATTACCGACAACTAGTCTCCATTGATCACATTTCTTGAAACGGATATGATAACCATTACTTATGGGGTAATTGGTTCAACATGTTTTAGTTGGTGTCGTGATTCATACCTATCTCCACATACTAGTTTTATTTTATTCCATTTTACCTTTGGATTGTGGGTATAGTACTCGAATCCAAGTCCATCTTGTTCCTCATTTACACGTGTAAATTATTTTGTATGATCTTCTTATTCATGGGTGTCATGTTTTATATCCTTTATAAAATCCCCTTCAACATTGTCCTATTCAGGGATTTATTAGGCATCATCTTGACTAATGTGTTGTTTGTTTTTTTTTTTTTTGTCTGCAGATCTTCTTAGTTTTTTTTTCTATGTGTGATGTAGACGATGCACAGACATTAAGCTTCACAGACTGTTTATTTTTTTAAAGACTGCAGACCTCAAAAGGTATGCACGTCCTCTTCTTGGCGCAGATGTGGACCAGAGTCTTCAAATCTCTTAAAACATCTTCTAATCAAAAAAACATATATATCTTTTTTTTTTTAACTTAGATTCATTATAACTTTATCTATTATAAATAACTTTTAATAAAAAAAACTACAATATTAAAAGGAAAAAGGTTTGGTGACATAATGATGACATTTTTGATAAATTTATAAATAATGATTTAATTACAATAAGGTCATTAAAGTTGTTTATATAGACATGAAGAAAAAAAAAAAAAAAAAACTTAATATTATCTTATTTTTTGTATCAAATTTTACAAAAAAAATATTTAATACAATATCATTAATTTCTTGTGAAAAATATTTATGCTCAGTTTTGAATCAATTTAGAAAAAGTAAAATGAAAATTTTCATTTAAAATCAAAAGTTTATTTGTATCCAATTTATGTGTTAAATATTTTATCTCTACTTATCATGTTTAGGTATAACATTCCAACCAAAGTTTTTTGATTTTTATCAAATAGATACGTTAATTCATACCATTTTATTGTTACCTTTATACAATAATACATAAAAAGTTGATCTACATTTGTTAATTATCTATACTAAAGCCATAAATTATTAAAACTCTTTTAGTTTTTATTAAATAAGTTTAATTATATTTTAATTTATTTTAATTGTGTGCAAATGTTAAAAAAACAAACAGTTTGACTGTAGATTTTTGTTCCATCTTTTCTAATGCAGAGATATACAGATTTAGTTGCAGACTACAGACATTTTACCTCAAAAAACAAATTAAGTGTGTTTAGAAAGTATCGTTGCATCTTTGGGTTTCTTTTTGAAGTCTTTGTCAACTTAGAAAGTATGGTTGCATCTAGGGGTTTGTTTCTTTTTGAAGTTTTCATCCAGTTGAATGTCTGTCAATATCTTCTCCATAGTCAACAGTAAACACAATAAATTGACTTTAGTGAATTAGTACCAATGATCAACAAACCAAGAAAAAGATAGATAACATGGATAATTTCACCAATTTTTACCTGCAATGTGTGGATTCCGTGGTTGTCGTTGCATCTTTGACTATTTGAGGGTAAAAAAACCAAGTAAATGAGGACCAAGAAAGGAAAGAAAGGAGTGTCAATTTTTGGCGCGAGTGTTATCTCAAAACCCTAGATTAATGAGACAATTACTTAGTATCCATGTCATCTAATTTAGGTGGAATATGATGATTTGAATAAATTACCCGGTGATCTGTAATTTTTTATAGAAAAAATAATTTTAAAACTCTTACGTTAACTTGCCTAAAATAATAATCTTCTTTATAGATTGTAGAACTGTTGAAATTGCGCAGGAGAACCCACCAAATTCCCAACGCCCAACGGATTGGCGTGATTCATCGCAACAATCAACAACAACTTCACTACAACCTCTGATGGCGATTTCTAGGGTTTTAGTTTTACACTTCCCAATTCGAAATTCTTGTTACAAAAGCTTCAACATAAGGTATCATTTTTCAATGTTCAGTCTGCTGTTCGGTGGGAAGTTGGTGCGTTGCAAATTGCAGATGTGATATTTCCCCTGCATTTGATGTTTTATATGTTTACAATCTCCATGACCAGGTCCGTTTACGCAACCTTCTCCTTTCTTCCTTTAAATATCTTATACATTACTTCATCACTATTTCTTTTTCTTTTATCCATCTATTGTTTGCCTTTCATTTTCACCTAATTTAGCTTCACTTCCAATCCAGAATTTGATGCTTCCTTTTTATCTTTTTATTCTTTTTCCACAACAAACTCTGACATTCTCATTCCAACGATTTAAAATATATGATAATAGTGAGTGAAAGGAACACATGTCATGACTTATTAGTATCCCTATATAGAAAATTCAACTCAGGCTCTCTCAAATCAGATTGTTTGGAATGATAGTATGAATTTAATGAGTATTTCATACTGTATATGAAACGTTTTTGAGAAGTGAAGCTCTTCATACATTATGGGGAAGTCAGGGTCTAAACATGGAGATGCTAATTCACCATGTGGAAAGTATCAGTTTAGGTATCAAAAAATGTTGCAAGGAAGTGATCCAACAAAGGGGAGGAGGGTGTCAGGGGGAGTCTACCAGTGGGATAAGCTTGAGTTGTTTAATGGATTAAAGAGTAACTCCATGAAATTAGGTTCTTTGAAGGGTGCTTATGTTGGGAAAAGGCATACTTGGATCCATAAACATTTTTCATCAATTGTTTTCACAATTTTATTGATGGGTTTTCTTTTTCTTTTGGATTCTTTTATGGGTTCTATCTTTGAACCTTCGGTTCTTCAAAGTAGTCCACCTCCCAAAAAATTGTCTACTGAAACTGAAATGGTATGTGTTTATGTGTTTCTTTTTTGGGTCTGCATCAGCAAAGGAAATTGACCAAAACCAAATGTCAATTAGTCTAATAACCAAATATCATATGTAAAAATGGGTTAAATGGAAGAAATAGCAATGTACTTCCATGGATTTGTTTATTATAACATTCTACTTTCATTTCTTCTTATTACAACATTTTATTTTCAAAAATCTACCAAGTTAGCAATCTCATCTGAATACAAAACATTTTTCACTTCTATAATTGGGTAGCTTTTTCAATATACAATGCCTTAACAAAGTAATGACTCTTTTCTTGAAGTTTGGAGATAAAAGTGGCAAAAATGTGGTGCAAATGTATGGTCACCTTGCAAGCATGGCTTCTAGTGCTCTTGCAGAGGTTTGATAATTACCATTTTGACCTTGCTCATTGATAAATAAATAGTTTTTGTTTTGTTTATAGTTGATACGTATTGTTATATGTTCATGAATAATTTCTAACACAGAGAGAGCTTAAACAAGAGGAATCAAGATTTTGGAAGGAATCTTATCGAAAAGCATCATTATGGAGCCCTTGTGCAGATAGAAAGGAATCAAGAAATACAGGTAAAAAAAACTGATTTCAATGGCTAGATTGATAAAATGGTGAATTTCTTTCCATAATGAAATATTAGATTATGTTTTATATGATCTTTTTCATGATTTGTCAAATGTTGTTAGGACAGGAAATTTTCAAAGCAACACTGGTTATATATTGGTTAGTGCAAATGGAGGTCTAAATCAACAACGTGTTGCTGTAAGTAACAATGTTTTCCAATATTTTATTAACCATTTTGATCATTTTTATGCATATGATTGAAGGCTTTATGGAATTTATTATATAATAAAGTTTGTTGCTTTTTATCTAGGTATGTAATGCTGTTGCTGTAGCATCATTATTAAATGCAACATTAGTTATTCCAAGGTTTCTCTACAGCAACGTATGGAAGGACCCAAGGTTTGATACTTTAACTTTCTTTTATATTTTAGTTGACTTATTTTTTCTTCTTTACATTTCTAAATTAAAAAAATACAATTTTGATGACTATGTTTGTGATTCAGCCAGTTTGGTGATATCTATCAAGAAGATTATTTCATGAAAACATTGAAAGATGAAGTTAATATAGTAAAGGATCTCCCACCTCATTTAAAATCACTAAACTTCAAAGAAATCGGTAGTCTGGTATGTTGTCTTTTATTCCCTAATTTGCCCTCCAACAAAACAAGAAATATCTTACTCCAATTCTTTTTGATACTGTTTTCACGATTGAATTTCAGATAACTGATGCAGATCTTACTAAAGAAGCAACACCATTGGAATACATCAAGAAAATTCTTCCGATTTTATCAAAAAATGGAGTTGTTCACTTTCTTGGATATGGAAATCGCCTTGGATTTGATCCTTTGCCTTCTGATCTTCAGGTTACATTACAATTATCAGATTTTCAAATTTCTTACAATATATTTTCGTTCATACTAAATCTTATTTATTTAATTTCAGAGGCTAAGATGCAAATGTAATTACCATGCTTTGAAGTTTGTGCCAAAAATCCAAGAAATCGGTTCATTGTTAATTAGAAGAATAAGAAAATACAATGAGCCAAGGAACAAATTAGACAAGGAACTACTAGGAGATTTCATCACAAAGTCAAAGTCAAAGTCAAACATTCAAGATACAGATAGAGAACCACTTAAGTATCTTGCTTTGCATTTGAGGTTTGAAGTTGACATGGTTGCCTACTCTTTATGTGATTTTGGTGGAGGAAAAGTTGAGAAAGATGAACTTCAAACATACAGAGAATCCCACTTTCCATTGCTAATGCAACGATTGAAGAAGTCAAAGTGCGTATATCAAAAAAAACTTCCCCATTTTAGTAACTGAAACTAAAACTAAAACCATTTTTCTTTCTATAATTGGGTGATTATAGGCCTATTTCACCACAAGAATTAAGGAATTCAGGAAGATGTCCATTAACACCAGAAGAAGCTGCACTTGTTTTAGCTGCTCTTGGATTCATGAGTGATACATATATTTATCTTGCTGGATCACAAATATATGGAGGAAAGTCAAGGTTACGCCCTTTGACCAATTTATATCCTAATTTGATCACAAAAGAGGATCTCCTTTCCCCTAATGAACTCGCACCTTTCAACAACTTTTCTTCTCAGGTACCTTAAATACAAGAAATAGCAACATACTTTCTCTTACTTTTATTTATTTATTTCTTATTAAAATTTTTGATGAAAGTACATTGCTATTTCGTGACTTTGGTTTTTTAGCTAGCAGCAGTGGACTTTATCGCGTGTGCAACTTCAGATGTGTTTGCAATAACAGATTCGGGAAGCCAATTATCTTCATTGGTGTTGGGTTTTAGAACATATTATGGTGGTGGACATGCTCCAACTTTGAGACCTAATAAGAAGAGACTTGCAGAAGTGTTGTCAAAGAATAATGAAAATGTAGTAAATTGGAATGATTTTGAAGCAAGAGTAAAGAATATGATAAGTGAAGCACAAAGTGTAAGATTGAGGGGTTGGGGAAGAAGTATTTATAGACAACCGAGATGCCCTGAATGTATGTGTCGTTTTCAGTAATTGTTTGTTCTTCAGCCAATCTCTTTTTGTTTTTTCTTCCGAGTTTTTAAGGTTATTGTTTCCTCATTATTGACAATGTTGCACATAAGAACGTTCTTTTGTTGTACTATATTTTTTTGAGAAACTAAACAAAGGAAAAGATAAAGGATTAACAAATGGAGAACTCTAAATTAATTCCATTTAATATGGCTAAGTAACTTGAGACAAAATTTACATGAAATTAATGAAATTTAGAACAACAACAAAGCTATCATGCTCTCATGAAAAAACAACACATCATAAACTTCCTAGCCTCGAAAAGGGATTGTGATCAGCACAATCTCTAATCTTGAAAATGACAAAACTACCCCCCGATGAAGACCTCATGATGGTGGGAAAAAGCGGTTAAGATTGAAGGGGAGAGTGTAAAACTCTTCATTTCGGCTGTCTCCTTTGAATGTTCTGAACTTGGCCCACCATGGCATCCCTCGGTCTTTTGCACTGTCTTTGAACTCGAGTGTGTTGTCAAGAAACACCGACACCATCAATGCCACCGTTGGGGAGGAGAAGAAGATGGTGTTGAGGAAATCATTGAACTGGAATCCAGACACAAAACAACGCTATTAATTGATGTGAAATGACCAAAATGCCCTTCCGGTTTTATGTATGGGTGAAAGGAATATAGATGTAAAGATATGCTAACATGTACATCGTGTGCAAAAAGATATGGGACCTTTTGTATGAAAACAAACTTGAGAACAACATGTAAAGATGTAGAGAGATGAGACCTTTTTGTATGAAAAGACCAAAATGCCCTTCAGGTTATGTGGAAGGGACCGTGGAATATTATTATAGAGATAGATGTAAAGATGCTAACATGTCCCTCGTATGCAAAAAGATATGGGACCTTTTGTATGAAAACAAACTCGAGAACAACAAAAAATGCCTTTCCAGCTATCGTATGTGAAAAGACCAAAATGCCCTTCTGGTTGTGGTTTGTGGAAGGACCATGAAAAGTAGATGTAAAAAAAAAACAGATTAAAAAGACCAAAATGCCCATCTAGCTTTGGTATGTGGATGATGATGGACCATGAAAGATATATGCCCACATACCAAAAGGTTTATTTATTGTATGTAGAAAGACAACCGTAAAAAATACAACCTTGTCGTGTATGAAAAAAGATATGGAACTCTTTGTATGAAAAGAAGCGTGAAAAAATAGTAACTTGCCCATGGAATGTGAAATGACCAACTTACCCATTCAGCTTTGGTATGCGAAGGACCATGGAGAGCACCAGCCGTGTACTCCCTAAAGTATTCGGGAATAGACAAGCCAAGGAAGAAAGACACGCCCACAATGAACAAGTTTCTCATCGAGTTCATGTTTGTGAATTGCAGGAACGACAACCCAACAGAAGCTGCCAAAACAACAAAACACCAAATCAATTATTTTTTCACACATTTCATTAACCAATCAAATGCTTACCAACAAGACCAAATAGCACACAATATGCCGCAGCAAAAATCGGGAAAGGTATCGATGCAAATAAAGCTCCAAATTTCCCTACACATTAACAAAAAAAGATGATCAAAAAATTACAATCTTTTATTCTTGATCTCTTGAAATATTGCATTAATGGGATTTGTGGGCTTACCTAAAATCGAGAAGAAGATCATGAAGCCAGCTGAGATTTGAATGACTCTTCGGCTACCTACACGTGTACTTCCTAGAAGACCGACGTTTTCCCTGTTTTGTTTGGATTTATGTTTTTAGTTTCATGTCTTTTCTTTTTTAAACAATGTGAAACGGTGAATAGAATTTGTTTGAGAATATCGGAAACACTTACACAGAAACTGTTGAACCGGTTGCAGTTCCAAAAAGTCCACTCAAAAGAATCCCGACACCCTGTGTAATGAAATATATTTCTTTTTAATTAAAACCTGAGTACATGGTGATTCTTTTTTTTTTTGGTAGATTTTTAAAAGTAATAATTTGTAATTTATAATGGATATAACACTGACCTGCCACCCAATGCCGCGACTGAGAACATGAGCAGGGGGAGGTGTCGCACTTGCTAGACGAGCTGCCGCCTTATATGCACCTGTCGACTGTGTTATAAAACGAAAATCATCAAAATGTTACAATTTACAAAAGCACAAAACCACCCAATTAAACATGTTGTATGTCATTATACAACATTTTGTCACTCCCAAAAAGGTGAAACGTTGCCCTACAAAATGGAAATGGGACCCACAACACGAGTCGACCTAAAAAATTCTATTTACCTCAACAAGGGAGACGATAACTGCAGCCATCATCCCAAAAGCATGTCCTGCTTGAAACGTTGGTGCACCCCATTGAAGTGGATACGGAAACTTTATCCTGCATCAAGTAAACTACTTTGAGAATCCACTTTATGCTTTGAAAAATCTATGAATCATAATAATTCATGACTCAAACTACTAACCATGGTGCAGAGGATATGAGATCGGCTTTATCGGTTCTGCAGTGCAATTGGGTCTGTTCTGGGTGATGTTTATATGCACCACTAGCGGTTAATAGGTGTGCATATGCCCAGATCACTGCTATCGTCAAAAGAAGAGCAAAACGTTCCAATATCGGCAGTTGTTTCGCTTGAAACTGTTTTAGGTACTGTTTTTCCACCGGAAAATCAAGAAAGGGGAAGATTAGCGTTTTCGTTCATCAAATACGACTAGTTTTAGTAAACGTAATGGGCACTAGTGATATATACCTGAGAGAACATGATGAAAAGAATCAGCATTGGTATGCCGAATTCCACGCATCTCCCGACCTTTGATTTTGAACATTTTGAATCAAATCGTCATGAACAAAGATAAAAGCTTTGATTTTTTAGTTCATACTTAGAGGTTTTTGATTCTTTCTATAAAGATTTATGCCAAGTTCTTATCATCTTGAAACCGAAAACGAGTGTAATTGACCTCCAAGAGTACTCGTCATGAAGTTGAATCCAGAGCACTTTGACTTTCTAAGGTCAAATACTTTTCTTTGCATACTAATATATGGTAAGTTTTTTATATAAAATTGAGTCCACTTTTCCTCTACGATGTGTAGTTGTTATCACTTCAATTGGGTCATCAAAATTTACTAAAAAAAATGAATGATTTGTATGAATTTCAAAGATGAAAACGAGTCTATATGACCACCAAAAGTCAATTAAGCATACCACGGGAAATCCTCTGTCGAAGAGACCAAAACCAGCCAATGCAATCACAGGAACCATTCCTACAGGGCTAAAGAATCTGAAATAAACGAAAATTTATTAGAATTCGATTACAAAATCGGATTGTTTTCTTTATAAAAATTGTAAATTTACCTTGAGCAAATGGCCCACAGCTGACTATATCCCAATATAATTTGAACGCTCGATGCTACTATAAGTGCACCTTGTATCGCTCGCATTGTAGCAAGGAATCTCTGAAATTCACAACAAACTCATTATTATATCAAACTGGTTGCTATTTCTTGCATTTAACACTTGAAAGAAAGCATCATTAGCAAGTTTGTAAGTTTAGATTTACCATATGATCGTCAACAATGGTGGCAAGAGAAGGGTCATGGATGATTGAGATTATAGGAACCATGAAAGCCCAAGATCCACCAACAACAGTTGGCAATCGAGTTCCAAAAAGTGTTTGCAGAAATGTATTAATCCCTTGAACAAATAACAATGTTTGCACCACCCTCACCTTATCATTCTGAAAATTTTTAATGTACAAGTTGTAAAGCACAGTTATACATACATGGTACAAGTATATGATGCATGTTTTGGAGGAAAAACACTCACAGATGTACCACCCATCAAAGGAACAAGGAAACTGGGAATCATTACAGCAGTTCCTAAAGACAAGATGTAATGCTGAAACCCCAAAGCTATCGCTTCCCCTGTTTTTTTTTTTTTGTTTTTTTTTTTCCAGTTTTAAGCTAAAATCAGCATGGAAAGTGTGGAAATTTCGTTGATTTTAAGGAAAAGTGAAGAAATTTACTTACCCCAAGAAGGATTGGAGTCGATACAGTACTCTAAACCCTGAAGTTGGTCTGTTGGAAGATGAGTGATATCCTCTGCTTTTGGAGCTTCAGCCATGGTGGAAAAGATTTGGAAAACTTAAAACAACCCAGAAATGCTTTTGTTTTGGATGCTGAAATAAAGATTATTTTTTGTTTAGAATAAGGTTCTGGTAGTGAAAACGAATTCAAGATTCTTTCTAGCTCTAAATGTGTTTATTAATGAGTGAATCAACAGAAACAGAATCGAGATTCGTTGATTCCTTCTTCTTCCAAATGAGGTTTTTTTTGCTGAAAATGACTGAATCAGCTCAAATGGATGATTGGATTCTATGTGAGAAAAAGAAAGAAGAACATAAAAGAGAATTTGGCGGATGACCAATGAGATAGAAAGAGGAGGAAAAAGCTTATAAGGGTCAACAATGGTGGAGTTGAAAAAGCCCTAAAAGCAAAAGTTGATTGGAGAGTTGCAGGGGGGAGTCTTTTTGTTTGCTTAGTGATGTTGAATCTCTTTGCTTTAAGTAGTGATCCGTTAGATTTGAGAGTGTGTTGACAGAAATGCCCCTCGAAAATACTTCCAAAGTTTATGTTACCGTTGGTCCCTCTGTATGTATTTAATATATTGTTACCCCACTTACCAGAAAATATACTAATTTTTTTATTTTACTTAATTAATATTACTTATTTGCTCTGCAAATTTAATTAATTAATTACTGTTTTGAGCATCAAATCGTACTCAAGATGAAATGCACAAAAACAAAGAAAAATTGTGAAACTAAAGTATAAAAAAATTGTTTTTCTAGAATACTAAAAGTTATAAATCATAGTATGAGATTTTATTCCATAATTGTTTCTTAACTTTTTAAGATAAAGTTACATAAATGGTCCTTATAGTTTATAAACAGATCATATGTTGGGTTCGTAACTTTTTTTTTGGTAAATATGGTCCATGTAAATAACTAATTTAAAAATTTTGTACGGACCGCCCTTTTGTCCCACACAATTTATTTTCTGCCATTTTTTCTTATCATGTGGCCTTTAATTGAGGAGAATTTAGTCTTTTTTTTTTTTGTATTTTTTTTTCATATATATATATATATATATATATATATATATATATATATATATATATAT